TTGAAGAGAAACTTGGGTTCCACATGGTGTAAGGTGAACTTGATATGTATTGCCCCAACACCAACATTTGAGTCTCGAAGGTTTCCCCTTGATCACTAGGGCCTTGAGAAGTTGTGGAAAGAGGAAACCAGATCCTACCATGTTATGATATGACATGACTAAGGAATTCTCCTTCAAAAGGTATGCCCCCAATTGAACGACGCTTTTAAATGTGATCCAAGCTAATTGAATCTCGAAATGATTACCCCATGTTAATAGGATCTTCATTTGATATACCCCTATGATCATTAGTATGGCTTATGATTATAGGTCTCTTCTTTAGATGCTCTTCCCCTAGTTAGGAGCGTTTTGAAATGGATTTCTTTTCATTAACCCAATTTCTTTTGTGAGATCTCCTTGATGCTAAGTGTCTATTCGTAAATAAAAGTGTACAGTTTGAAAAGTAATCTTGTTTTATGCACATGCAAGTTTTGAAATCAAAGTTTGAATAGAAATGTATGATTAGAGATGGAGATTCGAAGAAGTGAAGGGGTTAGTAATAATTTTAACAAACATATGAGTCAGTTTAACACAAATTTCGTCGAGTATGCTTTCATAGTTAACCTTGCTTCAATTAGGACTTTTGAATGTTGTAACATGGCCATGGTTCGTGGTTTAAGAAAAAATGGATATAAGGCTCAATATTTATTTATTCCACCCCATTCTCCTTGATGTTCTCCAATCCTAAGTTAAATTAATCCAATGGATGTGTTCAATCTCCAAGAGAAATTTCGTAGTTGCGCAGATGATGAGAAGCGTAGATAAAGTTCAAGCGTTGATGAGAAGCATTGATAAGATCCAAGCATTGATTAAAAGCATTGATAAGATCCAAGCCTTAATTATAAGCCTTTGATGATTCTTGAAGTGGCAGTCACGAGATTGTTCTCCAATTTATCTATTTTAATCCCTTATTTTTGCCTAAGTCGAGTCTTTTCGATTTTTACTTGAACTAGCGGGCTTTATTTTTTTTTGGAATTTTTATTTTACTTTGAACACTTGTGATTGTCATGCTGGTTGTTGTAAGCTTCATCTTTATTGTTTCCTCGGTCTTGAGTGATGTATTGAGGAAGAAGATGTTGTGAACTTTTTATTTATTGATTTCTTCCTCAATCTTTGTTGATGTGCATGAGGAAGATGATGTGCTTGAACCTTTGCTTAGATAATTTCCTCAATGATGTATCGAGGATGGAGATATGCTTGAACCTTTGCTTAAATGGCTGGATTCTCTTAAGATTTGAATGCACTACTAAATTAATTGAAAGACTACCCTGCCCTTGGTTAAAATTAAGGTTTTTTTTAAATAGAAAAAAAACTCCAACTTCTGGTTCGAGGGGGTTGCTTACGGATTAACTCCTTATTTCTCCACTATTTAGGAATTGTAACAATACCTTACATCGTCAACTTAGTCTTACTATTAAAAATCATACATCAGCCAAATTCAGTTATTTAATGTTCGTCATTCTCCCTCAAAGTTTGTTAAAGTTGAAAAATGAAAAAAAGTCATTGGTTATATGGAAAGATGATAACGAAAAAGTGAAACGAATGGATCGATTTCAAAATATGCATGCTCATTTTATTAGAATTACTCATCCAAAGATACAAGTTTGTAGAAAATGAAATTTAGCAACTAAGAAATCACAAATTGAGATGATAAAGGCCTAATTATCTAGAGATAAGCTCCCTTGTTGATCCACTGACTTTAGGAGATTCTTCTTAGTCTTTGGATTTGTCAAAGCAAGGGGCGACCGTTCACCAATGAGATCCCTTTTTCAAAATTCAACTGCTTATTGTCGATCAAATCTTGGACCTTATGTTTAAAACCCCAATAGCTTTCAAGGGTATGTCCTGGAGAGTTTTCATGATACTCGCACCTGGCATTTCCATCATACTTAGGCGGGAGTGCCCCAATTGGAGGATTCAGTGACTTCTGCTCTACCAAAGATGCCTTGAGTAAATGTTATAGTAGCTGACTATGCGGTATGGGAAGAGGATCAAATCTCCTTGGTGGTAGTTTTTGTCTTCCCCTTTGTTGGGCATATCCCTTCTGTTGATAGGGTTGTTGTAGTTGTTACTAAGGTGGGGGGATTTTCCATGATGGTGGCATATGTGGTGCTGAATAGGCCTGTGAATGGGATGACAAAGGGTTATCTTCGCTCCTTGGTAATAATTGCATGATCAAGTTCATTTGAGTATTCAACTGGTAAACCTCCTCCTTCAATAATTCTTGGCTTATTTTGAGTTCCTCCATGGCTTCTTGAGACATGCTTTGAGTTCGCTTGTGAGTATCGAGAATATTTCTAGCTTAATGACAGTTGGATAAGGGTGGAAGTGTAAATGATATGAATTTTGTGCATATATATGAATGAGAGATATGCAAATGCATGGATATGAAAAATATATTTTATTTTGGCTCTTGAGGGTACGAAAATGTTTTCATGGAGAGGCAATGCGACATGGACGTAGTAAGAGGGTAAACATAAGGGTACCCTATACGGGTTTAATGATAGACATGATGATATCCTACATTAAGTCAGAGATTGAGACAGGCAGGAACTCTTTAAGGACGAAGATAATAATAGACATAGATATGATGATATCCTACATTGTCTCAGAGATTGAGACATGCAGGGATTCCTTAAGGATCATGTCCAATGAAAGACGACAAGGAATCCCTAAAAGCTAGGGATTATGACATAGGGACGGGAATTTCTACAGGCTAAAGGTTATTACATAGAAAGGGAAACTTCTATAGGCTAAAGCTAGTAATGGACGAAAAGATAACTCTTGCAGGTTTATGGATTGTAGTGGGATTTTATGAAAGGTATCCTTAGTTGGTAGGTTCCTAGTTTTGACCTACGTATATTCTACCATTCCCATAAGGTGGTTTCCATAAGGGTATCATGGATAACACTAGAGGGAAAGGCGCAAGGGCCTCCCTTAAGTGGAACCTCTTTGTAGACCGAAACTTTTATCTTTAAGGCCATGAAAGGTCTTACCATGAGATTTTGGTTTAAGGGTTATACAGAAAGTCATAGGTTTTATTTTAAAGTCCTACCCCCAAGAGGATACCTCTTGAGACATATTCCTTTCGTGCAATTCCACCGACTCTAGGCGAAGTCGTCACATAAACTCATAGGGGTGATGTATCCCCTTGGCTAATAGATGAACCTTCTTTCTAAGAGTTTTGAAAAATATTTTTTTGAAATTAAAATCCCATCACAATAAATAATATGATATTCACAATAATATTAAATAAATAAAACAAAATAAATAAATAAAACAAATAAATATAGAAATAAAAAATATAGAAAAACCCTAACAAAACCCTAAACCTAAAAGAGGGATGTTTCTAACTCTAGGGTTGAGTCCCCAATAGAGTCGTCAACTGTAATAACCGGAAAAAAAAATATGGAGTCGTCACCCTTAATTTTTATCCTAAGGAAGGGAATATAAAGGTTAACCCTAAATAAGTTAGAGATTCTAAGTTGTTGACTCGCTATTAGATGAAGGAAAGGTGTTAGGCACCCTCATCTACCTTGTTCACAAGGATATTAGGGATTAGATTTTAAAGGTTTAGGAAATAGGGTTTTAATTTTTTAATAGGGGAACTCGCCACAATTTTAGTCGTATGCATACATATCCTCTTATGAGGAATCAGAGTCACAATTCGTAGTTCGTAGTGTTGGTTGGTGTTTTTATAGGATTGTATAGAATTGATTTTAAATTATCCTTGAACCTTGTCTGGGTTGTAAGTTGAGTGATCGTAGACGCAGTTCGCAGTTAATTTTGAAAGTAATTCTATGTAATCCTTTTTCGAAGATGTATTTGGTTTTATTATGTTAGTAGAAAAATGGTTTGATCATTGGTTAACTGTTTTGAATTTCGATTTGATTAAAGAGTATTGTAGGACATAGAGCGAAGAAAGTATGATAAAGTCTTCCTCCTCACGTGGCCAAATATTAGCCACATGCTGCTTGTCATGAAGGATGGAGAGGAAGTCTGATAGAGTCTCCCTCATCACGTGGCCAAATATTGACCACGTGTCGCCCATTGGTGAATTGTATATTTTTTAATATCTTTGTAAAATATAGAACTAATTTTAATTCAAAAAAGAGTTTGATTTATGTAATGTTGGTGAATTAATCAGTTTAAGAAAATATTTGTTTTATGTACAAGTTTAAGTTTATTTTATTTATTTATAAATGTTAAATTAATTAAAAAAACAGGTAAATTAATAACTAAAAACTAACTAAATTAAAAACTAGAGGGTTGTAGGTTGAAATGAAATTAGAATTGCACCAAAGGCCCAAATGATATTCTAATAAGAAACCTAATTCTAAATCCTAGTTAATTAAGGTTAATATAAAAATAATAATTTTTTTTCTTATTAAAAAAGTGACTTATTGGGAACAGGAGGAATTCGTCTCCCATTTCCTATTTCCTCTCCTTTATTTTAAAATACACAATTAATTAAATATACATGAAAAGTTAAAACTTAAATTGACTTTTTCAACCCTTTCCACTGAACTAATGAAAGAGTGATAAGTGGCAATCAAGATAAAAAAACAGAAACGATAACAACCAAAACAAAAGAGAGAGTATTCAGATCTAAATTCTCTTCCTCTCTCAAGACACACCTTCTATTTTTTAGACTCTCTTCTATGCAGTAAAATAAAACCCAAGACCAAAATATACAAACAGAACGTAAAAAAAAATCGTGATATCAAAAAGGAAGAAGAAGAAAAAAATCTAACGTGGTGGCGACGGAGATCGATAGGTGCTTCTCTGATGATGTAGTCGAGCGGTGGCTGGACTTCACTGGTCGGATGATGTGTTGGTCGGTTTCCGATCTGTGCGTGAGACGATGGCAGCGGTGAATCTATCAGTGGATCTGGGCTCGTGCGAGAACCATGTCATTGTCGTGTGGTGGTGATTACAAATGGTTCCGACGAGTTTGCTTTTCAATCTGTTCTTCCTTCTTCTTGAATTCTTCTGCAAAAACCAAAAACTTTGTACACATAATGGTTTAGTGTTTTTGTGATTTGCCCAAAAAATAAATTGTTAATATACATGTTATTAATTTTATATGTTGATTTTCTACAAAGATTATGTAAGAAGATTATTAGCTTTTTTTCAATAAAGTTGAATTCCGTCATATTTCCAGAGATGAGAATCAGATAGTAGATGCTTTAGCCACTTTAGCTTCTATATACCAAGTAAATTCTTGGAATGATGTACCTCAGATTACAATTCGATATCTTGATAGACCAACTATGTGTTTTCCACATAAGGGACATCAGATGAAAAACCTTGGTATTATGATATCAAGAACTTCCTTCAGTCTCAAGAATAGTCTCAAGAATACCCGTTTGGTGCATCGAACAAAGATATAAAGACATTGAGAAGGTTGGCAAGTAGATTTTTCCTCAATGAAGATGTTGTAGCGGCAGAAATGTTGAGACTAAGCCATTGGATTGACTTAGCTCGCGCAAATCAAATAGAAATCGTCACCGCACTTTATTGTTTCCAAAGGAAATTGGAAAATAGCAAATAACCCCAAAAAAGAGGGGGATAATCTAGGTACGGGAGATGGTTATACAAAGGGAATGTATTAACAGCCTAAACATTTATGGTACTCTGCACGAACCTCTTTGAAAATCTGTGTATTTTGGCTATAAAAGGTGTATACAAAAATAGATGGTGGAGATAATAAAAGAAGTATTTTTTTACAATTTTCACCCTCCGCGGTTGTGAACCTTTAGTGCCTACGTACCACCTTCCGAGCAATAGGGGATTAGGATACTCGTAGTTCACCTCAAAAATTTTAAAACACACGTGGGTTGATTAATTTTAAGAGAAGAGACATCATCATCATATCCGAGTGGAAAACATACTTACTACCCATGATTATGATAAAGGAGATTTCGCGTCAGCTCAAAGTGGAGGATATAGCTTGGATTTAAAATCAACAAAGCATCACTCAACACCCAAGTGGAAAATGTCTCACTCTACTGCATATCGTAGAAGTATAGTAGCTCACATAACTACAAGAATCAACAAAGATTCTAATCTTTTGAGAAAAGTTTTAAAGTAAAAAGTCAAAGTGGAAAAATGATTTGAATGAGGTTAATTGACTTTTAATCTTCTAAAAAGATGTCAAAGTATGATTAAATTGATTAAAGTTTAATTAAGAAAAGATCTTGAAAATGCATGGACCTAAGTCCAAGTTTATTATGAAAGTCGTTCAAATTAGAAAACAAGAAGAGTTTTGAAAAGGATGGAGAATATTTTTGAAATTAAAGAAGATGGGAGGAGATGAAGGGACTATCCTAAAGCATAAAGTAAAAGCTAAGGAAAAGAACGATCTAACCAACAAGAAGCCAATACTTGACATAAGAAGTCAATGTAGAATTCTCATCCAGTGGATTGAAATCAAGCAAGCAAAAATACTAAACCTTTGAGAAATACCAAGCTTCAGATAAATTAAGTCTTCACAAAATCGGGCAGAGTAACGGTTATATATAGAGGAATTCTAAATCACAGACAAAGTATAAAATCCGAATAACTTGCACACAAAGAAAATCAACTCAATTCCTTGGAGTGAACCCCAAGAACTTCAGACAAAATAAAAATAGAGCAACAAGGTTCCCAAGTATCAAAGCTTCTAATCCTAAGTCCGAGAGATCCAAAACTCCACAATACCAAGGATAATAACTAAATAGTTCAAGCAACCTTACATACTTTAATGTTCAAGTTGATTATTAAGTGTCTTCAAAAGAAAATAAAAGCTCAAATGAGCAAAGATAAAATAACATAAAGATAAATGCTCAAGTGAACAAAAGGAAAATAATATGAGAAATAAATGCTAAAATAAATTGTACATAAAAGTAAAGGTACAAAATAAAGGGATAAAGTAAAGTTAATTGTTAGTGAATTAGAAGTTAAAAGGTTAGTTGAATGACCATCTTGAAGCTTGCATTTGAAAAGTCATTAGAATATTGATAAAATCAAATCTTATCTAAAATAAGTTTCATTTGCTTTTTGTCAAGTATATCATTCATTTCAAGTACTCAAAGTAACCACATATGATCAACGATGTTCAAATGATTCACTTAGACCAAAATTCATGAAGTTCATTAGAGGATTGATAGAATCAAAGCCTCCTAACAATAAACTTCAAAGTTATTGGATCTAAGGTTTCAAATTAAACATACTTGGGCTTGCAAACATAGGTTTGGGCCACGAATGATCATTTTTTGAATCGAGACAAATGTAGCGCTATGTTAAGCAATCGTAAGTGGACTTATGTAGAAGCCACACCTATTTTGAGGACGGTCAATAGCAATATATGTACCAAACATATTAGAAAAATGATATGTAGACCATTCTCTAAAAATATGTAGCACAAGTAAAAACAAGAAAGGAGATAAAATGAAGAGGGAGGGAAATGATAGTATAACCAATATATCAGATGAAATTAGGATTTCAAATATCATCAATGTCATTCATCCATTTTGGTGGATTTAGTTTTTCAACCAATCAACACTCAAGATCCAACGAGGTTGAGGAACTTGTTCCAAAGTAACACTCAAGTGTCTCCAAATTAGGACCAATAAAAAAATAATAAAATATATTTAATATAAAACAAAATTTAAATGATTAAAAAAAAGGAAATAATTGGTAAAATAAACAACATGTGTTAAAACACCAAATCAAAATCCTAAAAAAAATATCAGAAGTCAAACATGAGTCAACAAGTGTTGACAAAAAATTTTAGAATTTTTAAAAGTCAGAAACTATTTTTAAAATATAAAAAAACGCAAAATAAACCAAAATTTATGAAAAATAGTAAAATCAAAAATAAAAATAAAATGAGATCACCAATATTTTTCAAGAGGTCATTAGATCCTTCCATAATTTTTTCAAAATTTTAAAATCAAGAAAAGTATTTTTAAGCAGTTAAAACAAGTCAAATAAAGTGAAAAATTATTTTAAAAAATATCAAATCACAAAATGAAATTGTGAAAAAATAAAAATCAGAAAGAGAAAAATCAAAAAATTATTTTTTGATAATTATTAAACAATTTTAGAAGTTGAAATGATTTTTTTATAAATTTTTTAAGTTTAACACAATAAATAGAAAAAACAGGAAATAAAAATAAAGCTAAAAAAGTAGACCACTGGATCAATGTCAAAACACATTAGTAAGTTAATCCAAAAGATCAGACATAATCTGCATGATATAGACATTAGTGAATAAACCACCTAATCATTTATTTTTTTAAACAGTTTGAAAAAACAAGTGGCGCCTTGTCATTGGTTGAAAGATGACACGCTGGTCATCTTCAACCTCCAGCCACACGCGAGTTGCAGTTTTCACAAATGGAAAAATTAGAGGCTTAGATTGGTTCCATTCGCTTCATCTCATCGAGACGATTCCAATGGTACCCTCGCGAAAAATTTATATTAACCACAACTTAGTCGATTTGGAAAAAACCAGAAGAAAACAATTGAAAAGGGATTTGAAAATTCATGAGAAAAAATCACTTTCAATTAAAAACCAATGATGCTATGAGTATCAGAGTGATGAGATCTACATTGTAGTAACAAGTTTGAAGAGAATTAATGGAGGAATCTACCTGTTGAAACTCAACATCAGAGCTCTGAAACTGGACTTGGTGAGCTTGATTCAGTGCTCGATTCTTGGTTGTAAGAGTATGGTTAGCTTCAGAGAAGTTCAATGAAGATAACTGAATCAAAATAAAGGATTGAAAGAGCCTCTCAAGGAGAAAACGAATTTGAAAATTTCAGAGGTTTTGTGAGGTTCGGGCAGAGCTTCTTTGGCTATCCAAGCTTGTGGAAATGAGTGGGACGTGTCCCTTATTTATAGTTGAGCATGATGGAAACAAAAAGTGAGATAAATGATAAAGTATGAGTGGAATTATGTGCACCTGGATCATGAGTAAAATGTGACTTGTAATCCATCAAAACTCACTTAATTCTTGCATTTTGATGCTTAAACAAGTCTGAGCAAGCTTGTTAAACATGTTTAAGTGAAAAATGCGCATAAAATTGGTGATTAGAATGCACATTATGAAAATCAAGTTCAAACTTCAAACAAAAACTCAGTTTCATGGAAGCAACTTCAAGAGCATGGGGTATCCAATGTAGGAGACTTATGTTAGAACATGATTTGGTTCTACATCTTAGTAATAGTTTTGATGATAACAAATACATGATATATATAAAGAACAATTATGCTCTCTAATAAATTATTTAAATATGCAGAAAGGATATGATAAAGAAGCATAGAAGTTGGCAAACAATTTGCACTAAGAAGATCTGATAAGAATATCTAGAAGATCTGGTAAAGAAGCATAAAAGTTGGTGAACAATTTGCGCTAAGATCTAATGAAAGAGCATAAAAGATGATGTGAGAATTTCATTTTGAAGCTCTGATAAGACGAAGCATACATACTTAGAAACAAATGATTGACATCAACGCTTATGGCTGAGAATAAATGGTTGACATCAACACTTATGGCTGGGAACAAAGGGTTGACATCAGCACTTATGGTTGGGAACAAAGGGTTGACATTAACACTTATGACTGGAAATAAAGGGTTGACATCAGCACTTATGGCTGGGAACAAAGATTGACATCAACACTTATGGCTGGGAATAAAGGACTGACATCAACACTTATGACTGGGAACAAAGGGTTGACATCAACACTTATGGCTGTGAATAAAGGGTTGACATCAACACTTATGGCTGGGAATAAAGGATTGACATCAACACTTATGGCCGGGAACAAAGGGTTGACATCAACACTTATGGCTGGGAACAAATATTGACATCCGTACTTATGGTTGGGAACAAAGGGTTAACATCAACACTTATGGCTGGGAACAACTCAACTATGTTGGGGTAAAGTCCAGTAAGGAGAAAATGCTAACTAACGGATGTCGATGAACTACCAACTCAGGGGTGAAACTAGAAAAAACATAGAACAATAATAAGTTTCCCAAAATTCTAGTTTCCCAAAGTACAACCAATCTCAACAACAAACTATCTCCCATAACAAAGAGACTATCATTCATCGGAGTAAAACATCTTCGGTGGCATTAACAGACTTATTGGGGAAGTAAAGGTT